ATTTTTTATCGAAAATCAGTGTATATACTGTGTGTAATTCCCTTTCCTTTTCGTTTTAAGAGCACACGACGACAACCGCGCGTCATCAGGTATTCGTCTGTTTGCACTGCATGCGCGTTTATTCCATAAGTACTACTTCCGTTTCAGCTATCTACGGTAGCAAAAGGCAGCCAAGCTATAATACGCGTCACCGCAACAAAGCTGCCGTGCTCACATACATACACGCGGGTTTGAGTCACAATTTTCGGTCCGCGGACGCTTTTATTATCAGCGCTGTGCATGACACGGGTATTACAGCACGACGTACGGAATTACAGCTAAAAGCAGCGAATTATAAAAGCGACAAGTGTGGATTACTTTTTGTAGATTCCCTTGTCACCGTGCGTTCGATTGCCGCTGTGTTTTGTCTAAGTATGGTAAAAGGTACATGTGCATGAAACTTCAATGATTTGGAAAGTGAAAAGATACATCTTGACCATCTTTTTTTTTTTATAAAAATGTGATCAAAAAGAATGAATTATTAGACTGAAAAAAGAAAGCCCTGTGGTTTAGGTAAGTCAGCTCTTCCAATAGATGTTTGATTTTCGAACGACTTCTGTCGATTTCTCGTGTCAAAAAATCCGAACTCTTCGATATACATGCGAGCCCATTTGAATCGCGCCGAATTGTGAAATGACACCGGCCGCACACTATTACGAGGACATTTTATGATTTTATTCGGATTAAAAGAAAATGAAAGAATAACACGTGTATAATGCGTACACAGTCGATCGTTGCCGCGCAGCCGCACACAAATGTATTCCGATCCTTCAATAGCGACTGGCTTCTTTTTCCATTGCCATTATACTCGTCGATGCGGTCGCAGCTCCCGGTGTGTGGGTGTGTGCGTGTGCGAGCCTGTGTGGGTCTACTGTACGCGCGCGAGTGTGAGAATACGTTTCCAGGAACGATTGGATGATCCCAAATTTCCTACAGCTGAGCTCAGCAATGCCCCGGACATTATTAGTATGGACCATACGGCGAATCTATACATATGTATACGCGCGTATATATGCTGAGTGTATATAAGTGAATGTAGGATGGAACAAAGGCTTCACGCTCCGGGGATATAACAGGCTGACTGACGCAAGCAATTTTCAAAAGATACATTAATTTCGTTAATATCGGCTCTATTGGGAATAAAAATGTGCAAAATTTACTACGTCGATTTCAACTTTATGCCAATGCTGATGTAAATAATTTTGGGCGGAATTACGGTTACATCGTCGCAGCTGTCCAAAACATATATTTTATCCATACAGCGTAGAATAAATAAAACTCAGAGCAAGTCAGGTGAGTTTTTTTGAGCAAATCGTCAAAGTAACGTTAGATGTCCAAATTCAAAGCCGCCAGTGTTTCTGATAAAATGTAATTTTAAGTGACATATTACGAGGATTTTAAAAAGTTGAAGTTGCTGCGTATTGCATCCATCCGATTACTATATTGACGCAGAGTCTTTGCATCGAAAAAAAAACATACTACGAGCGTCACTCTTGATACAGCGCTCGCCTGACAGCCTCTCGAAAGCATCGTTGATTATCAATGCGTTCGAAGAAGCTCAGCAACGCATCAAGCGCTGATTACGATGTCGCTCTCGCGATAACCAGTCGAAACGTTTGGCATATTATTAAATCTCCAGCAAATGCAGTGCACAATGCTAATGTCGGGCAAATTCCATCAGCGAGCAAAACGACATTCTTTAATCTGTTCATCGGCAAAGTATAATACCCAATGCATTCGGCAAGTCAGAGGTTCAATCCGTTCTCGAAATGGCTCGCATTGTATCTTGAAGCCATATAATCCATTTTCAAAAGTTCTCAATCTCGTTGTGGCCAGAGCTATTAGATATACAAATTGGCCCGGTCTGGTGCGCACGGCGCGATATTGTACTAGTAAGTATGTACTGTACAGGAATGCCGAGCAGCAGCGATGCAACAGCGAGATACGTAACGCAGTCATAGATGGATTTATGTTTACACGAGTGAGCGTATGTGCGAGTGAGCACGCGGCAACAGGCACTGCACGTGCATTGATGCGAAGAAACGGGGCGCGTGTGCGGTGGGCTTTATACATTGCCGTATAATGCTATTTTCGAGCTGGCGCGCGCTTATTCGCCTTCTCCGGCGCGCACGAGGTCCTGCCACGGCCCGCAGTAATCGTATATGTGCGACTACTTTTACTCAAACCTCGTATGCGGCATACACACAGCGCATATTTTGTGTGCCCGCTCGCACGCGCCTCTCTTGTGAGCAACATACGTATGAGCACGACATCCATCTAGTCCATTGTGCGTGTTATGCGGCTATACGATCGCGATAGCTTTTCTCTTTCCTTTCTTTTTTCGTGTTTTTTTTTTTCACTCGGGTCCCAGCCAGGTGAGCTCGTTATTATAATGCGTCTAGCGATGTATGGGGACTCGAAAAAGTTCGATTATGTTTGCCGCCCCTTTCAATTCTAAGCACACGCGCTTTTTCCCCCGAAATCGGCCTAAATAGACGCGCCTGCTTTAGCCTTCAAATTGTTCTCGTAACAGGCCTTTTGACATTTGTGTATACCTACGAGACCTACTGAATTTTTTCTCCTTCAATCACTCTGCATACCCAGTTGCGACTGTTTTTCTGATTAATTTTTAAACCGACCGACGCTCATTGTTTTTCCTTATTTTGGCACGCTCATGAGCTCGAGCTTTCGATGTGTTTGATGCGGCTTTCGTTTTTGGCACTAATTCCTCCAACGCGTTGCTATATTACAGAATAAATATTTGAGACAATTCGCAAAAATTTAAGCATGAATTTGATAAAAAGTACGGAGTGCTGAGCTTAGCCATGCACGATAGAAAGCGTACTTTTATTCAGTAAGAGCACGTCGATATAATTTTTTTATTTTTCCGAGCCAACGTACTAAATGAAAAATGCAATTTATTGTCCGCGAGAATGCTGGCACGCACACAAGGCGATTTAAAAGCCCGCGCAACACGACTACGTTAGGTACATACCGAACATGCACAAGCGCTCACGGCCTGTCAAAAAAAAAGTGCACGGAAAAATGAAATCTCGTCACGCATCGTCGATTCTTTTGCCATTCTCCACTGTCGCGCTGTATATTTTTAATGGCATAACCAAAGCGAGCCGGCACAATACGGATAAATGCATTTCCGTTTCGTGCGTATTTTCCACTGGGCGCTTGTAGCGTAGTGTTATAGTTGGTCCCCCGAGGAAAGCTGCCGTCGCCAGTACTCGCGCACACAAGTGAAAACAAAAATAAATTGCTGCTGACATTATAAATATGTATTACAGATGTACATGCGAGCATAAAAAACGAGTACAAGCGGCCGAGAGAAAAATTAATAATCGTCGAGTTATCGCAGACGAGCTGCACTGCGCACGGAGCGCACGCGTGATGGAGGAATAACAATTATCTATACCGGATGCCACAATTGCACCATTGCCAATAAAAGAGGAAGAAGAGACCAGGCAAATAAAAAGGCTATACGATATGGGCGCGCTTTCTTGGCGATATGTTCACTCTTGCCTCTCGCAAAAGATGCGATAATACGCCTGAGATGTGTTTGTCGAATAGGCAAAAAAGAAAGAGGTTAAGTAAATTGTGGAGAAAATATTTATCGTCTCTACAATGCTGCATTATATACGAAGTTTACATACGCTTTACTTTACTTTTCATGCATAAGCTATCATTTTATCGCGGAGCTTTTTTTCAATCGAATGCGAGTATGTAATTTAGGTAATTAACGAAAAACCTGTCTACACTCCCTATTGTATAAAAAATTAATCTTTAAAACATGATGATCCTCAAGTTGTGCACGTTTCGTGCCATTTCAGTTTGTAATTTTATTCTGATGTAATTTAATGATTCACAACACACATATTTTTGTGTCTTATTAACATCCATTATTAAAAACATTCCGGCAGGTAATTTTCTTTATCATTAAGATGTAGATTATAAGATGGCGTTGCATGAAAAATTAAGTTTTCTAAAGAATCAAAGAAAATATGTAATTAATTGACAAATTGGTATAGATTCAGAAATGTAAAATACGTTATATTGCTCAAGTTGTTCGGAGTTGTCATAGATTATCATCGATAGTCTCTTGCACGAGTTTCGTATCATTTTTGATATCGTTAGATAATTTTGTCATTACTTAGACATAAAATTAGGATTCATTAAAAACAGTTTAAAAAATGTTTAGTTGTCATCATCACGTCGAGTGGAGAAATAGTATATTTCTCAACGGGTGCACATATGGTTTTTTAGCAAAACGAGGGATTATAGCACGAGCCGAAGGCGAGTGCTGTAACGAGTTTTGTTAAAAAACCATATCTGCACCAGTTTGAGATACTATTTTTTCCTACGAGAGCCTAAAATTAGCGGCAAAGTTGCGTATTTTAGGTTAGAGTGGGGAAAATTTCTTTTGTACGAAAAAAAAGAAAATATTCAGCGCCAAAGATGACAAACATTTCACAATGCAGAAAAGAAAACATAGTTGAAACGAATCATTCAAACGTTGACAGACGGTTATTATTCACAGCACAATAGAGTCGCAAATGAAAATTTGAAAAAAAATCAACAAAGAACGCAACGTGCTTCAGATGATCGCACACTACAACAGCGAGAGATCGTTGAAACAAAGTGGCCAATCGTCGTTAGAAAAACTACTATTTGAAATATCATAGATATTAAAAAAACATCGCGAATGAGAAAGTCTGGGTCTGCGATGAATCATCGGCATTAAAATAGGCAATCGAACAGCGATTATTACCATTGACTCGAGTTTTCTCCGTAAAAAAATATAATAAACAAAAGAGAAGAGAAATTAGAGAGACGAGCGTCGCTGCACGAAAATCAGCTGGGCCGGAGCGATGCAGCGGTAGCAACGAACTGTTACAGTCCTAGCTAGGACATGACACATAGGAAGCGCAATGTTGCGCGCGTATATGACTCACCTTGGCGACGAAAAGAAGAGGCGAGCGCCGCGTCGAGGAGCAGCAAGATAAAGAGGACATAGGCGACCCTGGGCATCATCGTCGTCGTCGTCCCCCTCGTCGCGCTTCGTCAAGCTTCGTCGTCGTCTTGGTCGTCGTTTTTATTACTACTCATCTGCACATACTCCATATGCCGACGATCTTGTCATTGCACTCGGACTCGTCGCCTTTATTTCTTCTATATATCGTACGTATGATTGTATATATAGAACGATGTGTATGTGTACACGCACATGTGTATGCGTGTGTTAGTGTGAAAATGTGACGAATGTGTAAATTTATATATAGCACCACGAGCACCCTTAAAGCGATACAATTACGCGTTCGTAATCGTATATATAGAGAGAGATACGTATAGATATAGGAGGACACTACGCGAGGTTAGGTTGTGTACCTAGAGCCCTTTGCACTCCTGCGAATGAAACTTGAACAGAATAAGCGCACTAGAACAAAACTTGAGCGAAGATTGCTTTGGAGTCAAGACTACGCTATGACACACCATGTATATATTTTAAAACACTGGCACAACAAACACACGACAGTAAAGCGAGTATACACTGATGCTTTATTATGTAGCGCGACAGAGCGCAGCAAACACGCTCGGCTCTCGCGACGTTCCGTGCCAGACTGACTCGAATTTCTCTTTCTCTCTCTGCTGCTGCTACTGCTGGCGATTCTCGACACACGCGCGAATGTCTGCGCCTGTTTTGCTCTTCCACTTTTACTCCACTACTACTTACATTGACTACGCGGCGGGGGAAGAGACGTGTTCGAGCAACTGCTCGCTCGGCTTCGAATTGTACGTAGCGATCGTTGGTACGGTGGAAGGCGACTTTTAGTTGCTGCGGATCAGTAAAATTCGCTGTAGATGGCGACTTGCGCTTGAACCGATGCTACAGTCAGAAATTTATAAAACGTTGTTTTGTCAGTGCCGCTTGATAATTCGACATTTGCTGCGCTTGCTTCCTTGTCAGTAATTCGAGTATTTGCAAAATAATAATATTCACTTGATTGACAGGAATACGATACTTTGATAATATTGTTTGATCATTTTTCCGCGTTTTTCTTTACGTGCCTATCCAGATTTCCTTTAATTATCTCATAAAAGTTTAATTAACCGTCAAGATCTCCAAATTATTGACTTATTTAATGAAATCAAAACTTATTTTATGTAATCCTGGTCTACTCTTTCCTGTATAGTATACATTAATGAAAATCTGGATCGAATACAACGAAATTTAAAAGAAAACCAAAAAGCGTCGCATTAGTAAAATGTGTTGTTAATTTTTTTTTATTATTGTACCATGAATACATATGTATCGGCATATTACATCATGCGTCATTTACACGCTATTGTTCTTCAGTATTACTAAATCAATTCAACAAATTCAAGTAATTCTTTTTTATTTAATTAGTCTATTTGTATATTTTAGTCTATCATACCGCAATGTTGTCTAAAGTAATGAGCACAAGAGCTTAATTACGCTTGCAGGTCTGCTTCTCGCAACTCCTGAGTTTTCTACCGTAAACCCTGCAAGATCCCAACAGGTTCGTGACCTTGACTTGGGCAAGTACAAAGTTGCAGCTGTATCCGCCGTTGAGCACATCCAGACCGAGAACCTCCCCTAGGCCGTCGAGAAGAGACGTGCACCTGATGCAGGTGATCTTGTAACCGCGATACTCCTTGTCCAGACGAGGTTGACCCGCTACCACGATCTGCGCCAGTGATTTTCGTGTCATGTTAATTTGTTTTGCTCAACTGCGTTGATGATAATTTTGAAAAAAAAACTTACGCTAAGGAATGGGATCGTATCCAACAGCTCATCGTTTCTTTCCCGACGACATCTACTGGATCTTCTGCTTTGTGCCAATGCCATACTTATGAGACAGAATAAAACAATGTACTTGAGTGCTGCCATTTTTCAAAAAATATGAAATTAATTGCCTTATGAAAAACTTGCGACTACTGCGGAATTGTGGGCTTTCAGTATGAACTTTTATATAACTTTTCTTATCAATTCATTCACTTTGGGCAAGATCGATAATTCATCCAAGTTTTCTCAAGCAGCTGGAAAAATCTTTTGCTTTATTTCTCATCATCAAATCAAACAGCCAGTTTCCAATTTTTACTTTAATCGAACATTTTTCAATATTCCAATATTATTATAAGACGTGAATTTCCTTACGTTGACACTCGCAATCCAGATGTACTAACAAGATTTATTTCAAAACTCATTAATTATTAATATTTCTTATTTTCTCCACAAATTTCTGATCCTTCAAAAATCCATATTTTAATGTACGAAAAAATTGTTACTTTAAATTCGTTTATAGAAATACTATAAAATTTAATATAAAACTAGTTTCCAGTTCCTACAATTTCAATTAGTTAATTTTGGTGCGAGTATTTTTAGACAGAAAATACTTTTCATTTGTTCTCATTTTGTTTTAACGTATCGTTTATTCTCTAAAAACATTTCGTAAGCAGCGTCGATTTAGGAATGAAAATATTTTCAACTTAATCAAATAACAATTTGGATTTTTTAAATATTTTCGACACTTTTGAATTAGATTAAACAAATTCTTTGAACATATTCTCTAACGGATTCATTAAGTTTGAAGATAAAGTAGAAGCGAAATTGAAAGGAAGGTTACGTGAAATATGGAAACGGCAACCACGTAACCGAGTTGTTTATACGACTCATTATGCATGGGACTGTCTAGTATTGAAACGATACAATTAGTGAGTAAATTAAGTTTACGTTCTGAGGTAGAACTCATGCGATACTAGAGTATGTCAAAGAAAGGATAGGAATCTGGTTTGGAGCGAAAAAATTAATTTTAGGACAACATTTTTCAAACTGGCGTAAAACTCGCAAAAAAATGGTCGATTATTCTACAAAATTCCATCGTGCTGCCATAAACTAAAAATAGTTGTCATGATTTAAAAAAAATTTTGTTGTTATCTCATCGAGTTTTTCGAACATTGAGAAAGTAAAATTGAAAAGTTATTAGTGTCTATTAATACATTTAATTATTCTCGAGTGAGAAGTAAGTACAATATTGTCGTAAGAAAGTTTTGCGGTTGCAATTAATTTTTTCATGGGAACAAAAATTGAATTGTGTTGTTATGAACACGGATTCGGTAGAGTAAGCTATTGTTTATATTATGAACATAATCAGTAATATAAATATAAAACCAAGTAAAAAAGTAATTTAAAAGTATGTTTTTACGTGGAAAAAACGTTTATAACCATCATCAATTGAAACAGTTCTTTCCCTCAACTCTCTTATATTGATCAAACTTAAACTACGTTTGTTTTCATATCCTTTGCTCCCTTTATTCAACAGTTCATTTTTGTCTGGAAACATGGATAATTCAGTAGGAGATATCGTCGACTATGTTCTAAAATCATGCAAAGAAAAAGAAGTTGAAGTATCAGAAAATTTCATCACATTTCTAGTGCGTATGATGAATTCAATTACTTAGATCAATATAATATTATTTTATTATTGATGTAATTTATCGTTCTAGATATCTTCAACGTCTTATTGTTCCGGTAATTCTATCTCTAAAGAAGAAAAATATAAAAATCAGAAGATAACAGAAATGATCATAAAAAAAGTAGTCAATATTTCTTCTCCGAGTTTAGTAACACTGAAAATGCAACAATACTTTTTGGAAAGTTATCAAAATCGAGGTATTTTTCTTATTCATAATAGGTGTAAAAAACTCATAGTATTCATAAATTGACAATAAATTATCTTAATATCTTAGAGGATATAATAAAAAAGCATCGAAGTTGCTTAGCTCAAAAAACTTTACCACTTATAAAGGAAATATGTGACTTTGTTGTCCTTGATAACACTACAGCCTTAGAACAACTATACCAAAAGATATTAGTAGTTATTACGATTTTAAGCGGCTTAGGAGATCCAACTGTTTCAATCATTCTAAGGTACTCAGCAATCATTTTTCGGTACTCTTTTTATAATTTAATAATAGTAGTATATTAATAATTTATAAACATTATGTCGTTGAAATTTTTATTAAAAAAAAAAAAAATGAAGAGAAGTCGGCCTCGCTTTGCATAGTGTATTTCAGCCTTCAGAACTCTCAAGATTTGTCACATTGTCAGAGTTCGAAAAAGAAAGTCAATTGACAGAGCTCATGCATATCGTTTCTGGCATTCGTCTTTTCAATCGCGATGGCCAACGTGGGGGTGAAGGCATTGATGATTGTAAGGGGTTAAGCTATCAAAGTGTACCATGTTGTTTGAAATTAATATGAAATCAATTTTTATTATCAGTGCCATGTATTTTACAAAATAGTGTGAATACATCACGTACAATAATAGTTCATTTACTGGAAAGTCTCATGGAAAAAATTTATAATCTTACTGCAATCGTAGAAGCAGGTATAAAAAGTGACGATGTTAACGATGGGGAAAGTCAAATTGATAACAATCACTTTACATGGGCCTTGAAAGCTTTGGTGACAGCTCGACAACAAGAAGTGTACGTCAGGTTCGTTGATATTTTAGATAATTTCGCTTGAAAAAATAAAGTAAAATAATGATTTCTAATTATACATATTTCGATTGGATTTAAAGAAAATTGCTGATGGATTTAGATATTTGCGAAAAAGAGGTTGAACTTTTAATAAAAGAATTGAAAAACAAATTCATTAAACTTCATGAAATAGTAAAATATCGCACAGCCATTCCAACCACTCAAGTTTACGTATGAAAAAATTGTTTCATGTTTTGTAATCTTTATGTCTATTTCACTTAGTGTTCTTTTGTTTATTTTTAATATAGCCTCAGTTCATAGAAATTGCCAAAACTTGGTTTAAATTGCAAGATGAAGTATTAGTAATAAGTTTCTTAAATGAAATGCTGTGTCAATTGAGATCATTTTTGCCTCAGGTATGTTTTTTCTCAAATTAGCAAATGATATCTTTGAATACATGCAAATAAATTTATTTAAAAAAAATTAATATAATTTTTTTAGACATTAGAATCACGCTATCAAACTGTTATTGAATTATTGTTGGATGAGATTCAAGTACTTACCGATTCTGAAAGATTAGAACGTACTATGGGAAAATTGATTGGTAAGTAGGCAAGTTTATAATTATTACGGTCAATATCGATTGGAAGTATAATTTTTAAAAATCGATATTATCAATTTTTCAGAGGATAGCGGTAAATGTGCAATTATATATCCCAACACGGATACCACTTTCAATAAAGTGAATTTACAAGTGATTATCTTTAGATTATTATATTACTTGTTAAATAGTAACATTCTTTAAATTATTCTACTTCAATTTTATAGCTTTGTTCGATCTTTTCTAGTTTCTTGGATTTTGTGCTTGGAGTTTTGTGGTAGGCAATGGAGCAATAATTCCTGGAAATCCTAATATTGGCATATTAGAATGGAAAGAAAAATATTTTGCATTTAGTTCTGTCAGTGCAGCTAAACAGTTTTCAAAACGTCCTGATAGGTAATACAAATTTTCTGATTGTTTTTATAGTTTGAGAGAACAGTTTTAAAGGTTTTTAGAAGCTGCTCTGGATCTCGTGGAAAAAAATTTAGAATTTATACATTTTTTTCAACTTTTTGACCAGATAAACATATTCAATCAGCAAGACAAGTAAATATATTTCACTTTAAGTTCAATATTTATTGTGTAATTATTGCCTTACTGAAGTAATTTCTTCAGATTTTCAAGAGGAATAAAACCTCCAAAACTATTTCGAAATCAAGAAATCCAAACAGATTTGCACATTTTACCGACTTTCATAGATACCAATTATTCATCAAATATTTGGGAGCATCGTCGAAAAGCAATTAAACTCGTGAGTAATTTATGAAACGAATAATAAGTAATATGAACAATTGCCTTTGAATTTTAAAATTTCTGTTCGAAAATAGATTATTGATAAGCCAATTTACCTGATCTTGTACTAGTAGACCAATACAATGGTTAAATTTTAAATATATATAGGAAATATTTACATGTACTGTTTGCACTTATGATTACATTTATAAAAAAAATTCTCACAATAATCTATTATTTTTTATAAATTTTTTTTGATGAAGAAACTCATCATAGATCTTAAAAACTTTTATAAATTAAGTATGTGTTAAATTTTCTTTCAATAATCGTTTGAACACGTTTCTTGCATTTAAAATTGTCACTGCTGAAGAATAGCTTATTCTTTGACTTGTAATTTTTATCGTATCGTGGTACTAGACTGCACTTTCATAAATTCTTACAAAACCTCGCTGATTTTTCACGATACCGATACAATAGCAAATATTATACAGAGTCGAGTACCTCAAAGATGGTTTTTCAAATTCTGTTTTAGTTTGAATTAATTGTACAATGTAGATAGTTAAAAAACCCAACCATTAGCATGAACCTTTTTTCCTTGGGTACAATTGGCTTTAATTATAAAAAATTTTGAAAAATCATTTTTGAAATGCTTGAGCTATATGATGAAACCATTGTCATCGATATTGTTCTAAGTTGTGACATGATAATAATCCTCTTCAAGAATAAGTTAGTCTTCAGACAACCGCTTTAGGAAATCGACAAGAAAAATACAAGAAAATCTGAGGCTCCGATTTTTAGACATCTTGAATACGTATGAATATGTATTTTTTCTGAAGATGTAAATCTTATGTAAATTAAAAATACAGATAAGTGTACATTTAAAATGCAGTGGAAATCATATAATTCGAATTATCGTATAATTCCAAGTGATCGCTCAGTCCCGGTCCCGTTCTATACAAAACCATGCAAAAAAGATTGTAGATATTTTATGATTGGTTAAAGAGATGTAATTTTTATAAACTTTCAACTTATTACTGGCTAATAAAATAATTTTTGTAGGCAAATATGTTACAATCTGCTTGTAAAAGCACGCAAACTCTAAAATCTTCGTTCCGCAATGGCATGTGCATTCAAACTATGTCCAAAAATGAAAAAGAAACCCAAACAAGAGTCGACAAAGGAATCAATACAACTTTAGTAAACAAGTTAGAGTTAAGTTTAACGCACAGAGAAAAAGACATTAACCTTATCGATTTCAAATTGTTATCAAAATAAATTCTTTCCGATTTTTTAACTCAAGTTTTCGATTTTATACCTACATAAAGTATATGTAGGCTTTTGTAACATAAATTAAAAATAAATAACTTTTTAGTTATTTTATTGAATTGACTAAAAATAAAAATTATATTATATATTATTATATTATACATAAATAAATATAATATTATACCATAAATAAAGTATTATACGTTCAATCATGGGTTATTATCATACAATTTTCTTGTGAATACAAAATTTCCATTATAAATTGAATTCTCCTAAAATGCAAAAATGTTTTGAATCTTTGAAAAATCACTATTTATAGATTTTGCAGAATAAATTATCTTGTTATTTGTTCTTATAAATTAATATTTTACACGCTGTCGTACTATACTTGTAAAATCTCAAACAGACATAATTTTATTCAGATATTCCGCAATTAGAAAATTCAAAAACTATAATGAAATGGTTGTTTGGCCATAAACTTTGCAAGATTTTGGCAATCTTTGATTCTTGATTTTCGGTGAAATCTTTGATAGATTAGTTATGTCTTGAGTTTCTGGAAGACACTTGATACAGTTTATTTCAAGTTTAGGAAGTTTAACTGGTAAATGTTTATGAATTGCTAATACCTGAAAATTATAAATGTAATCTTACTTAAAATTGTAAAAAAAAAAAGAAATTCGTTAAAAGCAACACATAAGATAACGAAAAAGTACAATTTCAAACTAATTATAGAAAAATTGTCATACTCACTTTAGGTAAAGATAAAGTTCCTATTAATTTATCATTATTTTGAGGCTGACAGTACAAATTTGTAATCTGTTTGATTGCCGATAGTATGCTTGATTCTTCGCTCGTTTCGACTCTTTTTTGATCCAAAACTAGCCTATCGAAATTATCATTCGTGTTAACCCTCCCATTTTTACCTGATTCATTATTAGCCTCATCGCCTCCAGGCCCTCCACTTCCACCTGAACCTCCTGTACCTCCATTACCGCTGATGCCACCAGTAGCTCCTGAACCGCCTCCTCCTCCCGAACCTCCAGAACCGGCAGATCCACCGCCACCGGCACTAAGACCTGATCCACCGCCACCACCTGAACCACCGGATCCTCCAGATCCTCCACCACCACCATTAGGACCATCACCTGATCCTCCACCTCCACCAGAACCACCTGATCCACCAGCTCCTCCTGAACCACTCGTAGACGAGTCGTTTCCACTTCCACCTCCACCTGCGCCACCCCCACCACCACCTCCTCCTCCACCTCCACCGGAGCCGGTGGTTTTGCCTCCATCTCCCCCGCTGCCACCTAAACCACCGACTCCTCCAATAACTGATTTACTGCTGGTCCCACCTCCTGAACCACCACGGCCTCCAAAACCTCCTTTTCCTCCGAACCCACCTAGTCCTGGAACTAAACCTTGCCCACCAGAACCACCTCCTCCTCCTGAGCCACCAGAACCGCCACTTCCCCCACCACCGCCGCCATTTTCTTTACTGCTAGAGCTACCATTTCCTCCTTCTCCACCAGATCCTCCACTTCCACCGGCGCCACCTTTTCCAGCGATTAAACCATTTCCTCCAGAACCGCCTTCACCACCCGAACCACCCCTACCTCCTAATCCGCCTGACTGAGCACTCGCATGTTTTTTTGTTACTAATAATGCATCTCCTTTGCTTTTATCTTCTAAACTTGTTTTTTTGGTCAATGTATCTATGATGAAATTTTCTTCGGAAAACTCAGCTGTATCTAGAACGTTATTTTTAATAAAACATTCCAAATTTTGTCCACATTGCACTGAATAAATGAATGATAAAATTAAAAGATATCGTATAAGCGCCATTATAGATACCTTGTACGACTCCGAATGAGATTTTACATCGAAAAAAGTGCGTTTATATCATTTTAAAGAGAGTTAGTGTTATCGTAATAATGTTGCTGCAAAAAATATTCCAGACCTTGTTAAATAGACATTGAAAGTTATCATACTTTATTAATTGACGTGACTCAAAATGTGCATGCATATTTTCATTATGAATGAGTGATAATCAAAGCTGTTGTGTGAGTGAAGTGATATACTCAAGCGTTCAACAAAAAAATCAGTACTTGTAGACTTTATATTTTTCGTTATTCAATAATGAAAATTTGACTCATCTATCAAACAAATAATAGTATCAAGATAAAGCCCATGTTTAGAATATATCAATGTGAAGGCAATTTTATTTTCAATAATTCTTCACTTTGAAATACGTTAAGTAAAATATTCTTATCGCTCTATTGACTTATCACAACGTATTATGTATTCAATTGGTTACAGTTGTCATTGAACATTTGCATTCATAACCATATCTTATTGTATCTAAAACATGTAGAATTTTTAGGTAAAATGAAATCTTGAATCATAGTTTTAAACATTTTTATTAATCTGGTAATGAAGTATTTTTTTTATTTTTCTCTTAAATAATTTATAATTACCAAGTTCAATAGACTTTAACGAAGTCTAAACATTTTTTGGCTACATATCTTATTGTAGTAAATATTAAACCCTTTCAAAAATTATTCTTAGTTCAGAATTAAGTTGAAGAAATAATGAGAGGTTGTTTGAAATTAGCTAATTTGAATACTCTATTTTTCTGAACTTAATGCGAACATGAATGTAAAAATCATGATTGAAGAGTAACATATTGTAATGCTTTATTCTAATTAATTGATTATTATTATCATCGAAATGAATAGAAAATTATGAGCTATTTTTGATATTAATTTTTCTTTACATACTCCAAGTATTGAAACAGTCTAGTTTTATAAGAATTATATAGAATAGAAATACTACGTATAACAAGTAATATTTTTCAACTATTATTACATCTTAACTATTCTTTCCGAATACTTTACAAGATCCTAATATATTGGAAGTTTTCAGTTGAGCTTTTATAAAATCATGATTATATCCTCCATTGATAATGTTGATTCGTAGATTCCTATTTAGAGGTGAGCTGCATTTTATACATGTAATAATGCGACCTGGGTATGTTTTTTCCAACCAGGAATTGGTCCCCAAAATCTAAAAAATTATCCATTAATTTATTTTTGAGTAATATTTTAAAATTTAGATAAATGTAAATCCATAAAATGATCAACTTGAACTTGAAATTTGACTTTATTCATATGTCTAAAATTAGATTTGATTATATCATACTCACATTTAAAACAGGTAGAGTATCTAAAAGTTCATCTCCTTTAGTTCTTTTGCAAAGTATTTTTTTGACACTTTTTTTATTATTACTAGGTGTTTTGTCGACGAAAGCACTTCGAATATCAATGTTACCCATTCCTGCCTCTGAATTAGTTAAGTTTTGATTATTTCCATTATTTTTATTATCTTCGGATGTCTTGGTTTCTGCAAATTTTATTAATAAGTTTTTATTAGAAAATGTAACTTGTGGTGAAAAATTGACTTTTTTGGTACTTACGGTTGTCGTTAGAATTTGAAATGTTGCTTGCTTGTTTGGAAGAATTTTTCAACGATTCGGGATTTTCAACGCCCTTGCTACCGCCTATTTCATTATTTTTAACACTATTGACTTGACTATTTCGCTTGGTATGAGCAACAACGGTACTGTCTGCAATTGCAATACTTGATCCTCTTTTACCATTCGCTCCTTCTAAACCATCATGCTTTAAAGAGGCTTCCTTATTAGGATCTGCGTTACTAACATTATCTTGAGAGTTTACAGGCAAATGAGATATAGAGGGTCTACTTGCTCCCCCGAGTCCGGCTAATCCACCTTTTCCACCTTTACTACTAACAGCTTCGGCTAAACCTTTTGATTGACCATTACTACTAACATTTGTTGTAGCTATTGCTATACTTGATCCACCTTTTCCACCGTTGCCTCCTGATCCAGCTTTACCTGTTTCCTCTGTCAGAGCTACTGGACTTGCAGTCACAGAATTAATTGATGAAACGCTGGAAATAGTGATTCCATGCGCTCCCCCGATTCCTCCATGCCCACCAGTACCACCATCGCCACCATTACCACTTAAAGCTTTAGCTGATCCAATAACGGGATCATTACCTTCTCCAGTTACATTACTTATAGCAATGGCAATACTAGATCCTCCATTGCCACCGCTTCCACCAACGCCACCAACACCCCCCAGGCTTGAAATATTTCCACCGCTAGCACCACCTTCGCCACCACTTCCGCCATTTCCTCCAGCGCCCCCTCGCCCTCCACTGCCACTAATCGATTCTATATTGTTTTGGTTTGAAAGATCTGTTGAAGAAGTTTCGATTATGCTATTACCGCCATCGCCACCTTTTCCACCTTCGCCTCCAGCTCCACCTCGCCCGCCACTACCACTTATCGATTCTAAATTGTTTTGGTTCGAAAGATCTTTTGAAGAAATTTCAATTATGCTATTACCTCCATCACCACCTCTTCCACCTTCGCCTCCGGCTCCACCTCGACCCCCTCTACCACCACGGCCTCGACGGCTAATTGCATGTGAGTTCGTTGAAGATTTGGATAGAGTAAGTCCTCCATCCCCACCATTGCCTCCTTCACCTCCAGCCCCACCTCGACCAACATGAATGGTTACAATTGCATCGGAACTGTGCTGAATCGAGGCTTGAGCTTTAGTGGAAGATTCAGCTATACTTAAACCACCTTCGCCACCTCTACCTCCCTCGCCTCCAGCTCCACCAAGACCACCTTGACCACTCGAAACAGTTGAATCAGTACGTTGACTGGATACTCTAGATTTTGATGAAGATTCAGTTATGCTCAAACCACCTTCACCGCCATCACCTCCCTCGCCTCCAGCTCCACCACGACCACCTTGACCACTCGAACCAGTTGAATCGTTATGATCACTGGATGCTTGAGAATTTATCAAAGATTGGGAAGAGCCTGAACTTGATACTTGACTATGACTTGTGTGATCTTTTAAATTTTCAGAACCATTTTTCTGAGTCGATGCTTGAGCTTTAGATGAAGATTCCGCTATACTTAAACCACCTTCTCCACCTCTACCTCCCTCGCCTCCAGCTCCACCACGACCACCTTGACCACTCAAAACAGTTGAGTCAATATGTTGACTGGATACTTTAGATTTTGATGAAGATTCAGTTATGCTCAAACCACCTTCACCGCCATCACCTCCCTCGCCTCCAGTTCCACCACGACCACCTTGACCACTCGAACCAGTTGAATCATTATGATCACTGGATGCTTGAGAATTTATCAAAGATTGGGCAGAGCCTGAACTTGATACTTGAGTATGACTTGTGTGATCTTTTAAATTTTCAGAACCACTTTGCTGAGTTGATGCTTGAGCTTTAGATGAAGATTCAGCTATACTTAAACCACCTTCACCACCTCTCCCTCCCTCGCCTCCAGCTCCACCACGACCACCTTGACCGATATGATTGGCTGTTTTACTATTATGATTAGATTCTGGTGTATTTAACGTCAATTGGGTAGAGCGCGGACTTGCGTCTTTAGTACGACTTTCGCGCCCTATTAAACTTTCAGAATCATTTTGCTGAATCAATGCTTGAACTCTAGATAAAGATTCAGCAATGCTCGAAACACTTTTGTCACTACCGTCACCTGTACTCCAATCATCATGATTTGTTCGAATTGATGAAGAACTCAATTCATTTCTACTTTTTGGCTTTGTATTTTCTTGAATGGATCCAATACCTCCATTTCCACCATCCCCGCCATTACCGCCACTACCACCATTACCACCATTACCACCACTTGCCCTATTACCTCCGTCGCCACCGTCGCCACCGTTGCCCCCATCACCACCGTTTCCACCATTTCCACGACTTGCCCCGTAACCTCCGTCACCACCATTTCCTCCATCTCCACCTTTACCACCATTACCACTTCTGAATCCGTTTCCACCGTGACCACCGTTACCTCCGTTTCCACCATTTCCTCCATTGCCATCCTGGATTTTACTTCTACCGCCGTTCCCACCATTTCCTCCGTTACCTCCATTTCCACCATTTCCTGCATTATCACTTGAATAATTATTGCTTTTTGTTACTCCATTATTTAACTCACTTTGTTTTTCAGAAATATTTTTTTCCTGTTTTTGTTCAAGTTCCTTCTGTATGAGCGTTATACTGTAAGGTTTTCGTAGTTTTTCACTAGAGTTTTCAAGTGTGTTATCACTAATAGCAGAATTAGATTTTTCATTACTATCATCACCAGCTTTTAAACGATGAGGTAACCTTGACGCTAAAGATGATGTTATAATGCAGAGAAAAATTATGTATTTTAATAACTCCATGTCGCAGTTCACCGGCGATGCCGGAAGTAAATGATTTCTTGAACTATAATTTCAATTGTATCCTTCTCTAAACAGATTTGTAACACAGCTACATACTTTGATATAAAGAACCATATATAAGCGGTTTTATCTTTAAATCGGAATTTCATGTTGTTGAAGTGTGTGACGTTATCGTTGTTAAAATATTATTGTTCAATATTTATATAACTGCAAGAATATGCAATCTTTTTAGTTCATTTGAATTACTTAGATATTCGTTTTATTTGATGGATTATCTAAAAATGGAAAAATTAAACCTTATCTTTGATTGATACTTCTACTAATCCTTATTCAGCGTGTGAAAACATAGAATTTATGAAATCGATTTTTAGGTCAATATTTAATTTATATTTTATTTATATTTAATTTATTTATTGATATTTAAAATCAATATTTAATTGTTCCATTGATATTACATCTAAACATAAAAAATATCTCAAAAATTTGAAATCCTCAATTCATAGAGCTCTTTTAAGGGTATTATAATGTTTTATTTACTTCTCTTTCAGGAAGAGGATACAAAAATGTGACGTACATCAATGCGTTTCTCTTTTAAAAGTGATTTTGTCAAGTATTGATGCAGTCTGATAAGATAATCATTTTGATAACGTTTGCAGTCACAATGAGCTGGATAGTTAAAAAAAATTTCGTGTTTTGAGCAAATTTTTGAGGTCATGCAAAACCAATGTAATGAGGAACTTTTAAACATTTACGTTGTGACGTTAAATGCATTGAATTTTTCAATAAATTCCATTCAAATATGAAAAAAAATAAATCAAGTTCGTATAGAATTAAGAAAAACATGTTTGACGATAATATTCTTAGCGTAAAAGTATAATTTCCAATTTCAGTAAAACGAATGATATAATTTTCATTTTCATTTCCATTTTCATTTTTATTTTTATTGAATGTGAAATTTTCATATCTTTCTTTGTTATTTTGTTAAGTAGCCATGTCGACATCTGCGTGCACCAAAAAGTTTCAATAAAAATAACGTTATAACCGTAGAAGGTAAAACAACGGTATTGTCGAAAATTTTATATCGAATAGAAGATCGCATTCAAAGACCAAAAGCATTACACTAACTCTGAAAAAATATTAATTATGAATCTTGAAAAATATGTTATGTCGCAGACTTTGAAGTAAATTTACTTTTTAATTTTTAATATCTTGAACGTTAAAAAATTGTTAAGAATTTTTATAAACCTTTCTGATTGGTCAAAAAGCTTTTGATTCTAGTCATTTAAAACAACATACAAAATGATTGACAATTGATAAAAATGATATCAATTTAATACAAGAAGTACGTTTATAATATACACTTCTGATTATTTGGTATTAATTGTTTTTCAGATATTTTCAACAAACCCCTTTTTTTAACTATATTACAGTTCAAAATTCTTTAATGCAATTTTTAATAAAATTTTAATTTTATAAAAACTAACAAATCTAATGAATTCTATCGCTGGATATTAAATTTTACGATAATTTTACATATTGTATCGGTATATTTAATGTTTAGACCATTTAATACTATACTTATTTGTGCATATAAAAATATTTTCTGCAAAAGTAATTTAGAATTTTTATAAAAAAGTGAAGAATCGTATCACGTTTAAAAATAATTTTTAAATATCATTTACGTTTGGTTTTTATTAATAGTCAGCATAATTTTCTTATTTTTAGGTGATTCATCAAAAATTGTATGTCATATCGTCATTATTGATGTGATTCGACTTAAACATAAGACAATAGTTGATTAGTTTTCAAATTTTTTATTCTTCTCTAATAGTTTTTAATACAATTTGATATACTTAAAATATAAAAATGCATATGACTTGGGACCTAACAAAATAGTCAAAAAATCGAGTAGAAAATTTTATAATTGTATATATTTACACATACAATTCATTTTAGAAATTACTAAAACAAAATGTTATACTTTTCATGATTTAAAAAAAAGTATCTTCTTAAATTATAAAAAAATTAGCATTAATGAACATTAATTACCCAAAATACTTGCAACAATTACACAATAGCAATTTTCAAAATGCTTCAAAAAGTTTTAAAACCAGAAGTGACTAATGTCGATGTAACTCATTATATTTCGGTAATTATTGCAAGCTTACATTCGTTGTGGGATGTATAAAGTCTTTTGAAATAAAAAATTACAATGTTATAGAATTCGAACATTGATAAAGAATGTAAAGTTGTACATGAAATAAGTTTTTGTACAATGTATATGCATGAATATCATTGTGAAAAGATGGTAAGAAGGCCCTTATCATGCGACGAATTATACAATTATCACTTCTGTATAAAGGAACAATTTATTCAGCAACAAAATGATTTTTCAAGTATTTCATCATACCAAAGGTCCTGAAGCGTTTGACTCCAATGACTTTCATTAAATCATCATCGCAGATGGCAAACTGTTTGTTCTTAGGGTCCTGAAAATTTAAAACACATGAATGAGAAAATTTATCATTACTTTAAACTTGTTAAAGTTGATATAAAAAATATATGATCTCTTACATAAAGGTTTCTTTCTTTGATGATTGCCCAAACTTTCTTGACAACTTCATGTCGAGCCATTTGTTTAGATCCAACCAGTGAGGCTAATTCTGCTGAAAGAGTGTAAGCTCGGGTGTATCCACTTCCTTTAGCTCCTCCTTTTTTAGCAGGAGTTGCTTTTTTGCTTTTACCCCAATCTTCATCAGAATCGCTATCGCTATTTTTACCTTTCTTGCCTTTTTTACCAGCTTTTCCAGCTAGAAGAAAAATCATTCGAAATTGAGAATTCGTTGAAATTTTTTAATTAATAAAAATTGTGTTATGCATGTATACAGTAAGGAATTAAGTAAAATATCAAAGTTTAAAGGAGACAATTTAATTTTATTTTATTACCTCCTTTTTTGGCAGAACGTTTGACTTTTTTAGGGCTATATTCTTCATCGCTGGCGTCCTCATCACTAGCACTTTCTTCATCGTCAGAAGAACCTTTCTTACGTTTGCTAGCAGTTCCCTTCTTGGGGCCTCGCTTAGCAGGTTTCTTTTCTTCTTCCTCTTCCTCCTCCTCTTCTTCTTCCTCTTCTTCTTCTTCTTCTTCTTCACCATCTTCAGATTCTTCACTTGCAGCCTTCTTTTTCTTTCCATCTTGCTGCTTTTCTTGCAGACAATCCATAACTAACTCATCAATCTCCTTTTTCCTGGAAAATTCAATAATTTTCTTTTTACATTTAATATAATTATATAATGAATGATTTAAAATATCAAAGTTATACGGAAGATTTATACATCATTAATAATTTCCAAAAATAATGTTGAAAGGGGAACGAGGTGTCAATTTAAATATGCAATTACACGCAGAGTCCTTACATTTTTTTCTAGGACTAGAGTAAGTTTACACATACTATGGAATAGTGTAAGCATTATCAATAATCAATTATAAATAATAAATTATCAATAATTAGTTACTTCATGTCCGTTATGTAAAATTAAATTTAAAAATGATTTAAGTACATTATAAATTAATTATATTAATAGAAATAATTAAATTATACCTTTCAGTAAGATCAACATCCAGTTTCTTTTCAATTTGTAATCTGACTTTCTTAGCAGAAGTTGAGGTCAAGTCGGCATCCTTAAGGATAGCTGTAAATAAAAAAATAAAATTTTTTAATTTCTGAATAAATTTCTGAATAAAATAACAGAACCGTTTTTTTTTCAAGTGAATTAATTATTGAAGCAATGTACGCGTGTCCGTTATTTGGATTGAAACATAAACTTATATTATTTAGTTGAAATTCAATTCGATTGTATTTTCAATCCAGTTTTAAAGAACGTTCTTATTCTCCTAGCGCGTTTAAAAAGGGTGCATAGATGGTTGGCACGAAGGAGAGCGCGCGCGTGCGTTAATTGTTAAGTTGGCAAGGGTGCATTCATCTTCCTCGCGCCCATTGTTCGTTATTTATTTTGTTTATATCTCGTATCTCGTAGTGTTAAAATAACAGTTACAAAGAAATATGTAAAAGTAATGAGTTCGTGAGATCTACTTTGGAATTGGAATAAATTCTTAATTACTCGTCACAGAAAAGATAATACGCTTAAGACGGTTGGTTAGGAGTTTTAGTTGATTTTACCCAAATTAGTGAGTGAAAATCGTTATAACAAAGTCTTCACGACATCAGATTGATTTTTATATTAGTCAGTTTTCCAGAGTACCCATTACGGAGTTCACAGAGGTAAGTTGGTTATAGTATACAATTCTGCTGATAAGCGTAAATATTTTGAACCAAACTCATATAGTATTTTTACATCGAATTCAAATATATCATATGCGATTAGTAACTAAAATAAAAGCAAAATAATCTTGTCCATAATGCAATAGAAAATCAATGGTTGCCGTGATTTGGATAAATATAAGTATTATGTATTGCAATTAAGATTTTAGACTAATGAACTGCCAAATATTATAATTTTTAATAATTTGTAAAAAAGTGTAAAATGCAAAAAACTTGGGTAATCAATTTTAATTATTCATAATTTTATAAAAAATGGATTTTTTAATTTCAATGTTTAGGTGACATTTAACTAAAACTATTTGAATGTGATTCAAATTGATTAAAAAAGTCCTCTCTTGAAAATTAAAAGCATAAATGGTTCGAGTTGTGTAATGTATAACGCATGAAGAAAGAGTGATACACGCGCAACAATGAAAGAGAGAGAGAGAGAGAGAGAGAGAGAGAGAAAGAGAGAGGGAGTAAGAAATCGAAAACAAAACAGGCGAATTGAAAGAAATAACGCGCGCAGCCAAGTCAAGTTGATCGTAAGCATCGCGGCGGCTTAGAGACGCGCGCGTCAGGCGAGAGGCACCAGTGGTATATAGAAAGAGAGAGAAAGAGACGCCCAACCGACTCGCGTAGCGCTATATCTATATGTATACGCTGTGTATACGTTTTTCGCTATGCCCACAGTGTTGAGCTTATGTATGTACGCGCGAGCTGCCTCATGCTCTACGTGTGGGTGTTTACGTGCGTTATACACTACGGAGCAGAGGTATACCGCGCTGGCATATCGGAGAACACAATAATACGGCGCAGCGCAGGCCGGAACGGCTCGAACGCACGCTGCTGCTGCTCGTTGCTGTGCATTGCCACCGACCGGACTTCTTTAACTTTTTTTTCTACTTTCACTTTGACGCGTAGATCAAAATTTTTGAATACATTTTCTCGCTAAAAACAACTCGAGACTCTTTCAATTTATCCGGAAAATTTTGACGATCGTTTTAATAATAAAAGCATGATTTAAATGGCGACGGCTTGGTGCCTTTTAAAAGTTGGACGCGCCAAATGCAAAATTAACAATTTATACAAATTATTTCGTTCGATAAATGACCTCGAGGCGTACTTGAAAAACCCATTAATTGATTAGAAGTTGCTAAATCAGCTATAATTACGTAAATGCGAGTGAAAATTCAACTCACCGGTAATCTCCTTGCGGAGTTCGTCTTTGCTGATATCGGCCATGTCTAGTGTGTATACAACGCTTGAGCTTGAGCTGATGTCTATATAGAGGCTTGGAGGTTAGTGGGGCTTTGTGGAGCGCAGTAAAGAGATAGCGAGGTACTGGGTGATGACTGAGCGAAGCTATGTTTCGCTGCCAACTGTGACCGGCTGTGCGGAGCAACATCAGGAGCTCCGAGCGGCTTCTCTCTCTGATGGCTGGCGGCTTCCCCTACCGTCCATCTTTAAGGGTGCTCTCACACGCAGCCAACGAGACCGCTCGCGGCTCGCGAGTTTGCTCCGTTGCTGCCGCTGCTCTCGCGCTATGCTAAACACTTCCCAGGCAATAGGATACCCTATGTAGCGAAGGCAAATATCGCTACTTCGAACCTAATTTAATGCATATATTTCCCGTTTTTCCAAACTACTATGCAGACTTTTCCTTTTTCCACATAATTTGATGTAAAAATTTGCCGAATTTTTCATTGATTTTATACAATTTAATTGATTTTAGATGACGCAGTTTCTCACTTAATTATCATCGAATTCTTCTGTCCTTAATAATATTACGAATACTTACTTTTAGAAAAAAAAACAACAATCGTTAACTTTTGCATGAGTAAATTAATTGAATGTATCTCGTTTTTATCTCTTCTAAAAAGTAATGCCTAAAATCAGAAGTATGATACCGAATTAATATTATTTTATAAGCCGAATCAATAGCATACAATTTTAGATTGTATTTCTCAAAACATAATTACCTAAAAGCAGTCTATTTTTCTAATCAAGTTTATACGTCTCTCATAACTTTTTTTACAAGACAGTGAAATTTTCGATAACCGATTGGTTCGTTACGATTGTTATATTAATCCTTACCTTCTCTTATAATCGATGCTACGATACCATTCGTTAATTTTACAATCAAAATAGAAAATAGATATGTATGGAGCAAAAATTATTGTATAAAAATTAACGCAAGTATAAATAATTTTTAATCCGATAAAATATACGCATTAAAATGATTTGCCAACACTATTTATGGAATAATACTAATTTATCAATGATTTTTTAGAGGAATGTAAATTTTTAGAACTTCATCAAATATTTTTATCGTTTATTTTAATAAAAAAAACTGGAGCAAACATCTAAACGACAACCAAACACAGTCAATCGTGTACTATTTTAGAAAAATTTTCAATAAAAATCTCTAGAAGCGTATTTAGGAATGTTCATTTTTGAACTAGTCTCAATACCCTTTAATATCTAGTTTTTTAAGAGTTATACTTATTATAGAATTTATCATTCGATCATTTTCCAAGTAAAATCGTCATTGTTTCTAAAAAATCTCGGAATTCAGTTTTAATCAATTCTTATTTTACAGATGAATTGATTCATATCAATTGTAAGTTTATCATTTAAATTCTTATAGTAATTAGTGTAAGCTTTTTTCAATTCTTATACAGTATGTTCAATTTCATTGATGGATATTTCACATTGTTGGGAATCGGTTATAAAAGTTAACGGTTGATTCATTACTTTTGAGAATATTCATTTAAAATGATAAACATTATATTAAATTTAAATATAACTATCAACAATTAAGCAATGGAATAAGAATTTTTTGAATAAAAATAAATTCTTTATAAACATCGGGAAATTTGATTTTTAAACGTTTTATTGTCAAAAATGATGAACAATCGTTCTGTTAAAGAAAATATTTGAATTATTCTTCCGTTTGAAAAGCAATATATCTTTGCAAGTAGGCCTCTTTTAATAAACAATAAGTATGAAGTTTGAATCGCATTGCTAGACGTTGGCCAGACTCATACTTGATTAACGCGATCCGAGACTCAACGTTGTGAATGGTAGCCGAATGTCCAAGTGCGCTTGCCGCGCTCTCCCGTAGCGTTCGTTGATAGTACAGTAGCGTCGAAAATTTTTATTCTAAGCAGATTAAACTCCATACTATCAAAAAATCATAACTTTTTTGTCGCAGAATGAATCGTAAAAGTAAGCACGGAAAGTCGTTCTAGAATTTTTCCCTCTACAAGTTTCTCATGACGCGCTAGGCTCAAAATTGCCTTCCAAGCACGTCATATATCTGACAAGCGAATAGGAGCCGGTGGTAACTTTTTGCTTTTACTGTACAATACGTACGACCGCAGGAGTCTGTACACTAGAAGGCTCGCATGCAAGCAGGGCGCCGGTAAAGCAAATCTAGAAAATCCAATCTTTCAAGCCGAATATCTCTGCGAGTCGGCCACCAATTGAAAATCTAGACACACTAAGTCGGGCTAATTTTTTTTTCTCTACATTTTTCTTATAATGCCCCTGGCGTAATTTTGTGTTGGAAAGTCGCTGTCGGGGCATCGTCGTTTCGAAGTTATAAAAGCGCAGCAGACTTTGGAACACAGAATCGACGAGCCCGCGTGCAGCTCCTGGCCGTTTTCCTTCTCGCTCGCGCTTATTATCAATACATGCTGCAATGCAACGATAATTTTCTTTATCTTAAAACATTTATGGCTTGCAATATAATGAAAAATATTCGTGACATTTGCGCATGAAAACTCCATTTTATTTTTCAATGCAACTTTTTAGAAGAGTTCATTTTTTAATTAATGAAACTTTAGCGATGGATTCCGAGGGCTCAAATATAAGTTTTTCCTTGCAAATTTGTACGTAAGCTTGTAAATTTCAAAATAACTGTTAAGTTGGGAAGTAACATTTTTCGTTTTAGTACCAAGACTATTGTTTTCGTGATTGTAAGGTATTTTTAAAATTTTTAAATCATCGATCGATTTTCCATTTTAAATTAACAAGATAATTGAAAAGCAGGTTAAAAATAAATTTGTAAATGTTCTCTCTGACTCTTTACAAGTCAGAAAAAAATGGACGTAAAAATTCTCATCGATCGGTGCAGTATTTCCATGGCAAATCTAGAACCTTGTTTCGCATAGTTTTCGTATATGTATACGAATCGCCCAGCAGTCACAGCAGCAGCAACATATAGAAGAGGAAGCAGCGAGTAGAGGGGCTACGTATGCAGCATTCGTGGTGTATATGAGAAAGCCAGGCAAGCTTGATCAGATGGTTATATACATGGCTATATGCTGCGAGTGTGTATAGTCGTGAACGTACAGTCACGCTTATCATTAAGGCGCTGCACCAAATATCTATAGGTGCTCAAAAAAGGAAATATCTCAAGAACCACTGCGTTAATTAAAAAACAGCATGCACAAAGTCGTTACAATTTTTCGAGATCTACATTTTTTTCCCGGTACCCCTGGCTTAATTCGGCGCTCTTATAGCTCTACTGGGAATCTAGCTTACTGGCCACTGCCATACTTTTCGTTCCAACTGTACATCAATATATGTATATATACACAAACTTAGCACGCTTGTTTCTCGTATATATATAATGTAGAACTATATAGATGACTAATATCTAAAAAACTGCATATCATTAGGTAGAACAAATTTAAGGAGCAAGATATTTAAAATTTCAGACGAAACTGGTAGGTACAGTTTTTCAATTTCATCATTATTGATATGCATAGAAGACTGAAGGTGAGCAAAATATTTTGAAATCATCGGTGATGCACCATGCGTATAAGAGCCTTTAACATTGAGGCGTTTGGTATTCAGTTTGATAAAGGATTCACAAAAACATGCGTGTATAACTGAATTTATTTTAACAACATTTTCAATGATAATGGGTTGAGATGAATTGAAGAAAAATCGATTATGGTTTATACAAATTTGAAATATGCCATTGAAATCATTGGTAATATTAGAGGTTTTAATACCAGACATTTTACAATTAATTTATCTTACAGAACTACCTAATAAACTCAATATTCATTTAATTGTTCTTAAACGTCCTGGCGTTTTTTCATAAATTAATTTTAAAAAAATTTGATAACAAACGCATATAAAATTTTTGATTTTTTATTGTACTTCTTACATCCATTTATTATTTTCCATTTGAATTAATGTCAATTATCATTTTTATCGTGTGCAGAAAACATTGAAAATTCATCTGGGCTTGAAAATAGTACTATAACGTTTTATACTTGTTTCATTGAATACTATGTGGCACCACTTGTCAAGTGGGTAAAACTTTTTGCAAGTAAAGATGTGATCTGCCTTACCGACTTGTCATTGATAAGTGCGATACCCAGCAACTTGAATTTCAGAAATTGGTTGCATGATGGTGCTACTTGTTATTTTGAATTTGATTTTATGAATGTTATCAATAGCAGATGGGCGTTTCATAAAATTTATTCTAAAATTTGAAAATCATAGTTTGCTGTTATTAGTTTAAGAATAATCATTATTTTCTATCAATAGAACTAGACTTAATCATCCTTGTAAATATTGTACTTTATTTCGTAGAAATCTCATAATTGATAACATGTACAAATCCGGCAAAAAATAAGACCCTAAAGCAAATCTTAGAGAATATGCAGCTTGACAGTGCGCGTGTTCACTACAACAATTAAATTCCCGAAATTGTTTATTTTTTGTCCTCTATGGACTTTAAAAAAGGATCTAAAATCATTTGCAATATCAAACCTCATATTCTAGAAAATATAGTATCTTTTCTTTTTTGTTCAAATAGCCCAAAAACCCGATCAAATTGGTTTTATGCCTATATATTAAATTACATGACTATTGCAAACTAGGAATTAGACGGCTATTTTGCATTAAGATTAACAAAAATTAAATAATTTTGACAAGCGAGGCGATTCTGATGCCTAGACTAAATAACCTCTTCAAATGAAATTGAAAACTGTTGGTAAAAATAAAAACCGTCAGGTGTCATGACAATATTTTTTTCCTCTTAAACTTTATTAGATATAATTTTACGATTTTTCTTTGAAATATTAAACAAATGAATACATCTATAAAAATATCGTGCTTTGTTATGAGAGATTGATGTAAATTTTCTATACAATATCCTTCACGAAGTTTCAATATTATCAATTTAGAAAAAACAGTAAAAGTAATATTTTTTGAATTTTGGACAAAACATTGTGTATGTTGGAAAAAGAGGTTGAGACTTTAAAAATAGATCTATAGCGTTTAAAAACTCCATTTCATTGCATGCAAAATTTTGAAGTTACGCGATACAATAAAAATATCTTTTTAATTTCAAGTATAGAGTTCTTTTCCTTCATGAATGTAT